TGGCAGAAGGGTAGATTTATCTATTTTGGCTTCCAGTTCAGATTGTAGCTTATGATCTGGGATAGTGTAATTCTAGCTACTGGCTAGACATATGGCAATTCAGGTGCAGGCGGCTATTAAAAATCAATTAGGAATGAAATATAGCTTCTGTTACACATACTGTAAGTTCATGCTTCCCGTTTAGGTGTTCTTCAGTAGTTTATTAGTACCACCATGATGAGTATCTGTCCTATTTACAGCTGAAAAAAGTAGATTATTTTTAGCTCTCTTGTGAATCTGAAAATTTGGTAGAGGTCAGCCTTGGAGGTAGGGAGAGATGATGGAGGAGAATGGGGTTAAATAATTATTTTTTTTTCCCTGAACAGGAAATATTCTTGAGAAATGTTATTCTGTTTGACTGAGATATTTCAATCATTGCATAATTCAATATTTTCTGACATTTTAGGATTATTTAACTTTTGCTTAGCTGCCTTCTTTTGATTTATGTTACTTTTTAAACAAACAGTGCTATTCTGAAATTCCCTCTAAAAATACTGGCACAAATATTTTTAAATTCAGTGTCCCACCTTTTCAGTCAAAACAATTAGACAAAATTTGATCCAGATTTGTGAATAGTTTGGTACCAAGAACCTCCTTTTTTCACAGCAAGTTTCCTCTTGGCCTATATTCTTGTCCTATCCCCCTGTCAGGTGGCACATTAGCTGTTCTCTCTTTTTCTCCACAGGACTAGAAATAGATATGAATACACTTCCCTTGACACTTTTTTGGACTCCCGGTGTTCGCTACAAATACACAAAAATCTTCTCTCTCTGCTTTTTCCTATAACAAATAATCCAAGGATCTTCTTTTAATAATCCAGGGTCGTCTTTTAAGGAGAAAGGCCTTTCACCATTTGCACAAGCTTTAAAATTGGCTATAAAAATATCATCACATTTGGTACCTCCAAGTGTGGTTTAGCTGGAGAGCAAGACTGCAGAGGTATTAAGCAGCACTAATGCTCAGGGACAAACACTAAACGCATTTTCGTAATGTGCCTCAATAGAAGAATTTAGCAGACCTGTCTGGGAAAGCGCATAAGACACTGGATTGAGTATAAATATTTCCGATTAGTTTTAGGGATTGGAACAAGCTACAAAGCTGTGGTCCGGAGATCAGGTTTCTCAGCTCAAGACTTGCTTAGTACCGGTGCCTGCCTAACCAGAAAGTTCAGATGTGTATCTGAAACTTCCTAAATGTGGGGAGATTACAGGTCTAGTTTTTTAATTCTAATTAATCTCTCTCACATAATGTTTCTTGCAATGCCCTTACTCCAAAGTACATGCTTTTTTATAGACCAATCCAGTCAGAATAAATCAATGGCATGGAATAAAAGCTGACGTGAAAAGACATTACTGGAAACGATAGACATCATCCAGATTTCTGGTCTTTATCTTCTGTTTTCCTCCTTGTGTTCAGTGCTACTGATCAGCTCCCTGTCACGGCTCCCCACATTAATCACACATCTCTTGTACTTGCACAGTGACCCACGTGCCTTTTGTAAAACATCATCATAACACGTGTGACCTTTCTGATACGCACAAGGAGCTCCAACCAACATTCGCTCTCATCGTGATGAAGCACGCGGTACATTTTGTCCGCTAAGAATCCTATTTCCAGTTCTCAGAGCTAAAATTAAGCTATCAAACATACAAAAGGCAACAGTCCCACTCTCCTGTCTCAATCCCTGCCTTTCACCCCTCATGTTTTTGTGAGTGAAACTGGTTTGGGTTGTGGAGCGAAGGAATTCCAGCTCTGCACCGAGCTAATTCTTTGAAGATTAATTCCAAGTGACAGCACTTACGTATTTCCGTGACATTCCTTAAGCAAAGACTGTTGTCATTAGCCAGGAAATGAACATTGATATCCCCAAATGAATGACCTGTTCCCAGATGAGTTACCAGTCGTGGGGAAATAAAGACAAAGCGAGTGAGATAAACCTACTCTGTTTTCCTTTGTCAGTGGAGCTGTGGAAGAGCAAATCCAAATCTCACAGTCCATGTTCAAACTGTTCTGCAGATCACCAATAAGCATAGTTACATCACTTACATGGAGAACACTTGTCACCCAGAAAAATTCAACACAAATAAGCACTTTGCCTACTGTTTAATTACAGATCCTCCAGCATGGCGTACGCAGCTCCTTGCTAGGGTCCAAAGGGTGAACATTTGTTTTAAATTGAAAAATGGATCCCCACTGATTTGAAGCAAAAGAATGTTTGCCAGGGATGGAGTACTGGGAAAGGAGAAATTCTGGAGGGTTTCACAATTTTAGACTCTTTGTAGCCAAAATGGCCAACTCCCAGAAAGGGATACTTGTAATTTTTAAAACTCCATGTACAGGGGCTTTTTCCTCACTAGCTAAAAAAGTTAGAGATATATTTTGCCATCTTTTCATGCAGATTTTAGAACTTTCCCAGTTTTGCCAACAGATGAAGGAGGGAGAGCGGCCTGATACAGTAATGCAAGGATTAATGGGATGAATAGATAGCGCTAGTCTGACACACTTCAGCTGGGGCTTTCTTCAATCACAGAACAGCAGCCACAACAGCCTTGGATGTAAAACGACAGCATGCATTTAGGCGAAAGGATCGGGGCCAGCTGGCCCGACACATTGGCCCTAAAGCAAGACGATCACACCGTTCAGGCTCGTAAACGCAGCCCGTGGCTTCGATTTCTGCGTTCGAGAGGCGGCTGATCCCAGACGAGGGTGTACGCGGCCTTTGCTGGAGATGCTCTCACACCGTGCTGCAGGGTCGGACCGACGCAGGTTCAACAAGGGGGGGCCGTAAGCCAGGAAAGGCGCC